CCCTTGCCCCAGCACCCATTGGCACGCACCCCTGTCCCCTGTCCCGGTACCCCCTGGCACCCTTCCCCAATACCATGTCCCCTGCTCTCACCAGCACAGTTGGGGCCACATTAGTGAGGCTTGTGGGGGTTTTGGAGGAGTTTTTATTTTGCATCTCACTTGTGTGGCCCCAACTGATTTTTCTGTGGGTCAGTGACCCCTGATTCAAAACAGGTTCCCTGCCCTTCTCATAAATAAAGACAATGCAGACGCTTTTTGTGTTTGACACAGTATTTTATTTAAAAATGAAGCCTGGCCAACAAACCCCCAATTGGGGCCAAGCCCCCATCTGCCCACAGCATCGTAACACTTCTGCACTCCCTCTTCCCCCAGACCCTAGATCTGAACCTATCATACACTGGAACCCCATGCCCTGAGCCCCTCATATACCCAAATTCCTGCACCCTCATATCCACAAGCCTGTGGCTTGCTTAGTACCCCAACACTGCCTGGCCTGAAGCCCCCTCCCCGACCCAGCATCCCCTTCTCCACCTCCTCCTGCATCCAGATTTCCTCCCAGAGCTTGCACCTCTCACCCCTTCCCACACCCAAATCCCTCATTACCACCCCAGAGCTTACACATCCTGCCTCAACCCAGCGAGGGTACAGCTAGACTGCAGGAGTTTTTCAGGATTCCGGAGATAACCCAGAAAAGCTCTTCTGCATCCAGGGATGTGTTTGTTGTTCTGCTTTTTTTAGTGGAAGAGCAAACGTGCTCTTTCGGTAACCCCTATATTCCTCTTTCCACAGGGAATAATGGGCTTCCAAAAGAAAGGGTTTTTCTGACATTTGGTCCAGTCTAGACAGGCCAAATGTTGGAAAAACCTCTTCCTACAGAAGAATTGGGGGGAGAAGGGGGAAGCATCAGTATAAGGGTTGGGGATAGCAGGAGAATAGAGAGGAAGGGGCGGGGTGGTAGATCTTGGCTTGTTCTGTCATTTAAAAAGTGATCTTGGGTGTGTAAAGGTTGGAGACCACTGGTCTAGGCATACCTGATTCTGCCGTGTGGGGGCTGGATTAGGTTACTTCAAGCCCCTTTCCAGCCGTACATCTATGAATCCATAAACAGGTGTGTACTTTCTTCACAGATGCAGATCAGGAACTTGACATCGCTGACACCAGCAGGTGAGGGGGGGCTGACATGGCCCATAGGCATCAATGCCCCTTTTGTTCCCAAATCCCGCTTTGAGGTGATCAGCTGGGACTACTTCACCGAGCAGCATCTCTTCTCCTGTGCTGATGGCTCCCCCAAATGTGAGCTGGCTGGAGCCAGCAAGGCAGATGTTAGTGACATCATTGAGGCGGCACTGCAGCAGCTCCACAGCTGTTACCAGCCCCAGCTTCGTTTCTACAAGCAACAGTTGCTGAATGGCTACCGGCGCTTTGACCCTACACGGGGCATGGAGTACATGCTGGACCTCTTGCTGGAGGCTGTCACCCAGAAGGGCCACAGCCATGTTCTCGCTAAGCGAGTGAGTCTAGTGCGGCCTCTCAGCAAGCTGGAGATCATCCCCATGCCATATGTGACAGAGGCCACACGTGTGCAGGTGGTGCTGCCCCTGACCGTGCAGGAGCTGGACTTTGTCAGCAACTTCCTGGACATGTTTGCTATGAACACACTGGACACACATGACAATGCCCTGCTAACACTGCTCTTCATCTACCAGCCTTATGATGCCCAGCGGGTCAGCCAGCTGGATGTCTTTGCTGGGGTCAAAGCTATGGTGGGAGAGCTGGAAAAGCGCTACAGAGAGGTGAAAATCCCCTGGATCAGCGTCAAAACTGAGGTGCCATCCCAGGTGAAGCTCATGGACATAGTGTCAAAGAAGCACCCAGTGGACACTCTCTTCTTCTTGGCCAGCGTTTGGACAGAGGTTAACACAGAGTTCCTGAATCGCTGCCGCATGAACACCATCAGTAACTGGCAGGTCTTCTTTCCAATGCACTTCCAGGAGTTCAACCCAGTGCTGATGTACCATGGGGAGCAGGCCGCCTCCTCCAGCACTGACTTCCTGAGGGATGGGCACTTTGACCGTCACGCCTTTGCTGAGGCTTGCTTCTACAACTCTGACTACATGGCAGCACGCACCAAGTTGGCAGCTGACATTTTGGACCGGGATGAAGTGCTGGAGAGCATGGAAGTATTTGATGTCTTCCTTCGCTACTCTGGCCTGCATCTGTTCCGGGCTGTGGAGCCAGGGCTGGTGCAGAAATACATGCTCCGGAGCTGCAACCCCCGACTGAGTGAGGAACTCTATCACCGCTGTGTGCTTAGTAACCTGGAGGGACTCTCCTCCCGCTCGCACCTCGCCATGGCCCTTTTTGAGCAGGAACAGGCCAATAGCACCTGAAGGACCAGTTGCTACCAATGGTTCCCAGCACCTTAACATTTGCACCTTCCACCCTTCTTCCCAGCCCCAACTGTGTCCTTGGAAAGATGGGGGTACGAGGCCCCGGGGTGGGCAGGGCAGTTGAAAGATTTGGTTTCATAAGAAAAGTGATTAAAGTTTCTTCTCATGCAACTTACTTTGTGAGAAACTAACATCACAAGTCTCTTCTCATTCACAACTATCCAGCTGGTACAGTGACACTCTCACAAAGTGGGCTGTGGGCGTTAGGGGGAAGAAGCTATAATATTATGGCCAGTCTACTCTGAGCCACATAATTCACCCAAAGCACTATACAGAGGAAGTAAATAGATCTAAATCAGAACAAGAATGCCTTGATTGCATATTAATGTATGCACTGCTCCCATTCTCTGACGCTTGGATCCCCTGAGGTGTTCACTGCTGCATTCACACAAACACCTCTTGAATCCTGACTTGTTAGTACTGTACTGTGCTTTCCTCTTGGGATTCCTGTTCTTCCACTCTATTAAAATGCAGCTTCCCTAGCCCAATGCCAAACATTCACTTTAGAGCCCAGAGGAGGGAAAAATTGCCAGCTGCCCTCCCCAGAGGGCAACCCTATTTAAATGTAAACAAAATGTAAATGTTCGAATGCAGCATAGTTGTATCTGACAGTCCCAAGGTACATGAGAGAGAGAAGGTGGGTGAGGTAATCTTTTATTGGACCAACTTCATAAATGATCTGGAAAAAGAAAATGAGAAGGCACAATTTGCAGATTATGCAAAGTTACACAGGATAGGCAGATTGCTAAAAGCTACAAAAGGATCTTACAAAACTGAGTGAACAAAAGGAAAAGCTATGTAGCACTTTAAAGACTAACAAGATGGTTTAATAGGTGATGAAGTTTCTCTCTAATCTGGTGTTAAAGTCTCTTTGAAGTAAGATGCATGTAGTACGGTCGTTAGGACTATGTTGAAATGAAAGGTTGAAATGAAAAGCAACTGGGTTTTTCCTTGGGAAGATGTCTGGTGTCTGATTTGTGGGCATTAATTCTTTGGCGAAGTGTCTGAGAAGTCTGTCCAATATACATAGCAGAAGGACATGAAGACTTCTCAGACTCTTCGCCAAAGAATTAATGCCCACAAATCAGACACCAGACATCTTCCCAAGGAAAAACCCAGTTGCTTTTCATTTCAACCTTTCATTTCAACATAGTCCTAACGACCGTACTACATGCATCTTACTTCAAAGAGACTTTAACACCAGATTAGAGAGAAACTTCATCACCTATTAAACCATCTTGTTAGTCTTTAAAGTGCTACATAGCTTTTCCTTTTGTTCACTCAGTTTTGTAAGATCCGCTTAGCCATTCATTGACTCATAAATAGCTATGTTTAAGTTGATGACTTAAATTAGCTGTTACCACTCAGAGAGAGAGAGAGATCTTGGAGTTACTGTGGATAGTTCTGAAAACATTCACTCGGTGTACAGCCAGTCAAAACAAATAGAATGTTGGGAATCATTAAGAAAGGGATGGAGAATAAGACATTATCATATTGCTTTTATGTAAATCTGTTGTATCCACAGCTTCTTTTTTCAGATGCATCCACCATATTTTGGAATTGGAAAAAGTTCAGAAAGGCAACACAAATTACTATGAGTATAGAACAGCTCTCTGATGAGGAGAGATTAGTCATGCTGCGATTTTCAGCTGGGAAAAAAGATGACCAAGGGGGGAATATGATGGAAGTCTATAAAATCATGACTGGTGTTGATAAAGTAGAGGAAGGTGCTATTTTTTTGCATTTTCAAGATCTAAGGGGTGACCAAATGAAATAGGCAGCAGGTTTAAAATGAACCAAAAGAAGTATTTTTTCCATACAATACACAGTCAACTGGAATTTCTTACCACAGGATGTTGAAAGCCAAGACTAACAGGGTTCAAAAAGAGAGCTAGACAGATTCAGGGGGAATAGGTTCATCAATGGCAGTTAGCCAGGATGTATAAGGATCGTGTCCCTAGCATGTTTGCCAGAAGCTGGGGATGAGCATGAAGCTAGACAAATTCAGATGGGAAATGTTAACATTTAACCATGATAGTTATTAATTATTGGAACAACTTACCAAAGTCATAGTAGAGTCACCATCACTGGTTCTACATCTCACATCTTTGAGAGCGATCTACATAGCCAGCTGTAGTGAACCTCCCAGCCCAGGTCAACAGAGTGTAGACAGCAAGTTGTAACTTAGTCTGGAGCTTGGAAGCTGAAGCCCATTCTTCCTTCAATTTCAGGGCCCAAGCCACAATGTCCTCATAGCTGTTAATTGTGTACCCAAGTCTTGACCCAGGGTGGGAGGCTCACTGCCATATACTGTGTAGCTATAGCTGTAGGTCTCCACTGAGGAATCTATTAGGATTGGTGGCTCCCTCCACTGTGGATTTACCCAAATCCTACTTTTGGGGCATCTACACAGATTCCCTTTCCAGAACCCATACTTTTTTTATGGAGAATCTTCCAGTAGGGTGATGGTTTCATATATTATTGCATCCTGGTTCTTTTGCACACCCTGAAACCTTTTCCTATAAGCCTCAAGGGTCACTTCAAACTTAGACTCTACTACTTAACTATTTATAGTGCCCTGGATAAACGTTATCATCTGACTATACATTTATTGTTTTGTGACCCTATAAGGAAGCGAGACAATGGTGCTGATTTGCAGGATCAACCTTATTCCAATCTCAAGCCTTCTTAAATTCACTTAAATCCCTCACTAGATCTTTTCAAATTGAAGCAACAATTTTATATCTAGGCTCCCTGCAGAATTGGCTTCATGTGGTCTTACCCCACTTATCCGTCTACGGAACCTTTTACTGTTCTGCTTCTTTCAGTATGCAGTCCATGCTGATGGTGCTTTTTCACAGGTTTTCTGTCTTTGCTGCATTTCTGTATGTTTTTGCTGCTTCCTGTGGTCAGCCCTTTCACAGTCTGTGAATCTCTGTTGCTCCTGACTGTGGAATCTTTTTGTTCACTTTCACCTGAGAATCTCATGAAGATGAGAGAAAAACAATAAAAAAGACTCCACAGCAGCTGGATGAAGTGCTGGTTTGGGTAGGATGGTCTGTCTTTTGCTTATGAGTATTAACCCAAGAAGTTCCTACTGCGGCATTCCAGTTGACTAATAAACCCTGCTCTGTTTGGAAAAGGCTGTTGGGTGTCACCTCAAATACTTGCTGAGATTGGTTCAGAGTAAAAGTCTCTCAATGAGTCTACCTCAGTTGGACTCGCTGGGCAGAGCTTGCACACAAGAGCAAACTATTCCACTGTGTAGGAAAGGTAGGAAGTATGGCAAGAGATTACCCAGGCTTACCTAGGAAATCCTGAATGATCTAAAAATCAAGGAGTCCTTCAAAAATTGAAAACTAAGCCAAAATTAAAAAGGATTAATATAAACAAACAAGTATGCAGGGAGAAAATTTGAACAGACAAAATGCAAGACTAGCTCAGACTGGCTAGAGACATAAAGGGTAACAAGAATACATTCTACAAATACATTAGGAGCAAGAGGAATACCAAGGATAATGTGTGACTGTTACTCAATGAAGAGGGAACAACTAACAAAAAATGTGGAAATAGCAAAGGTGCTTAATGACTTTGATTTTCTCCAAAAAGGTTGGTGGTGTTTGGAGACCTAATATAATGAACGTCAGTGAAAATGGGATAGGTTCAGAAGCTAAAATAGGAAAAGAACAAGTTAAAAATTACTTAGACAAGTTAGATTTTTTTTAAAATCATCAGGGTCTGATGAAATGCTTCCTAGAATACTGAAGGATATGATTGAGGAGATATCTGAGCCATTAGCTATTATCTGTGAAAAGCTGTGGACTCTCCTGCATTCGATAATATTAGAAAGGGCAAATACAGTGCCCATCTATAAAAAGGAAAATAAGGACCCAGAGAATTATAGCTTACTAAGACATTTAATACAGTCTTGCATGATCTCATTAATAAACTAGGGAACTATAACCTAGATGGGCTACTATAAGGTGCGTGCATAACTGATTGGCTAACCATTGACAGAGTAGTTTTCAAGGGTTCACAGTCATGCTAGAAGAAGGGTTCCACAGAGGTCAGTTCTTAGACCGATTCTGTCAAATATGAGTCAGTGTAACAATGTTGCAAAAACAAATATTATTTTGGGATATATTAACAGGAGTGTTGTAAGCAAGACTCAAGAAGTCATTTTTCTGCTTTACTCTGCACTGATTAGGCCTCTGTTGGAGTATTATGTCCCAATTCCAGATGTCACATCAGGAAAGCTGCAGACAAATTGGTAAAAGTCCAGAGAAGAGAATATTGATTAAAAGGTCTAGAAAACATGACTTACGAGGGAAGACTGAAAGAAATGGGTTTGTTTAGTCTAGAAAAGAGAAGACCAGGAGAAGGAAATAATAGCTTTCAAGTAGCTAAAAGGTTGTAATATGGAGGAGGAAGGAAAATCATTTTCATTAACCTCTGATGATAGGATAAGTAGTAATGTGCTTAAATTACAGCAAGGGAAGTTAAGGTTGAACATTAGGGAAAACTTCCTGATTGGTAGGGTGGTTAAAATTGCCTTGAACATTGTCAAATCTCCATCATTGGAGATTTTTAAGAGCAAGTTAGACAAATACCTGTCAGAGATGTCTAGATGCTGCTTGGACCTGCCATGACTGCAGGAGGCTGGACTTGAACAGTCAAGGTTCCTTCTAGTTCTATGATTCTGTAGTATACAGCAGTGGTAGGCAACCTGCAGTCCATCGGTGTTCTGTGTGTGACCCATGAGACATTTTGTTTATCATTGCCCGCTAAGGCTAGGTCTACACAGCAACATTATTTTCAAATAATTGTCGTTATTTTGAAATAATATAGTCTGCGTCTACACGGCCAGCAGTTATTTCGACATAATGCTGAAATACTGTCAAGATGGAGGATTTCTTATTCTGACTCCGGTAACTCGCGTTTTGAGGAGTAAGGGAAGTTGGAGGAAGAGTGCTCTGTTTCGAAATAAGTTCTATGTAGGCAGCTCCAAAACTCAAAATAAGCTATGCAATTGACATAGCTTAATTTGTGTAGCTTATTTTGAGTTCAGCCTTGCTGTATAGCTGTGCCTTCAAAGGGTTCATATTCACACTTGCTCCTTCTGTTGGTGGTGCG